CAGCAGCAGGCCAGTCGGTACCAGGTGAGCCCAGTGGCACCCCGGGCGCATCCTGGGCCCGCGGCCGCAGTTCTAACAGAAATGAGGGGCCGGGACACTGATGCCCGGGAGCTTTTGGAGAGCTTCTGGGGGCGTGACAACGAACACAGGTGCTGCCAGAGAAGCCGCTGAGGACACCCTGTGCTTGTGCGGAACCGCAGGGCCTGGGTCCTGCCTGGAACCTCCCACCGCCTGCGGCCACACGTGGATGGCCCCTCCCCCCCCACAAACGCTGACCCACGTCCTGTGTGTGGGACGTGCCCACGGGGGGACACGCCTGTCACCCCAGAGTGGGGCTTTTTTTTTTTTTAAAATACTTTTATTGATTTTAGAGAGGAAGGGAGAGGGAGAGTGAATTAGAAAAATCAATGATGAGAGCGAATCCTTGATGGGCTGCATCCTGCACGCCCCCTACTGGGGATCAAACCCGCAACCTGGGCATGTGCCCTGGACCAGAATCGAACCTGGGGCCCTTCAGTCCGCAGGCCGATGCTCTATCCACTGAGCCAAACTGGCTAGGGCTGTGGGGCTCTGTCAGACCCAATTCAAGCTGAAGTTCGACATTCACTTCATTAATATAATCTGTTTTCCTCCAAAACATCACATTTTAAAGGCCCTACTTCAGTAACTCTGCAATCGCGTGTATGTTCCAACACATACATGCTCCTTTCTCCTTTAATACCAGGAACCACGGCTGAACGCAGGCAGCTTGAACCCCTGGGCTGCCTCCCGAGGGTGGGCGCCAGGCTTCGAAAACAAACCCACACGGAACCAGAGGACGCACTTTCCTCCGGGACCCCGCACAGAACCATAATGGGGGTGGTCGCCGGTCAGGACACCCCACGGACCCAGGGCGGCATCGCCAGGCGATGCTGGGCCAGACCCCCCAGGGGCCTATGGGTCCCCCTCTCCCTGTTCTGTCACGTGGGCTCCAGGTCACCCCAGCCCCGCCCAGGGCAGTGCCCGCCCCGCCTCAGGCCCGCAGAAGGGGGGATCCCATGCCGTGGGCCTTACCAGGTCCCAGTCGATGCTGCGGAAGAAGGCGTGAGACTTGATGTCGGAAAACCCGGTCTGTGGCCGGCAGCCGAGCCGCTCTTTGGGGTCCTAAGGGTCAGAGTTCAAATGAGGACCGGTCAGCACAGAGCAAAGAAGCGTCCGGCAGCCCCCGCTCCTGGCCAGCGGCGAGGCACCAGCAAACTCCCCCCACAGCCAGCCTCCCCACACGGGTTCT